GTTGAAGTCCTACACATTCTCTAAGGTCCATTCAATCAATTTTCATTTATTAAACATGTACTGCATAAATATACCAGACACTGGAAAAGACAAAAAGAGGCCTTTCCCTCAAGTAGCTCACATTCTAATGGAAGAGACACAAATGAAGATAACTAAGTACAAATAAGATATGTACACAGTACATTCCAGTGGGAAAGGCATTAGTAGGTGGGAGGCCTGGGAAGAGGGCTCCTACAGAAAGCAAGATTGGAGAGAAGTCTTCAAGGAAGCCAGGGGGACCCAAGCAAGCAATGAAAAGGGAGAGCATTCCAAGAACGGGACAGACAGCACAAAGGTGCAGAGGCAGGAAATGAGGTTTTGTGTGCAAGGAACAAGTAGGCCGGTGCAGCTGGATCATAGAGTTTGTGAGGGGAAATAAAGTACTTGGAATAGAGGAAATGGCCAGGTTGTGAAGGGCATTAAATGCCAAAGAGGACTTTTTTTTATTTGATCCTGAAGTAACAGGGAGCCACTAGAGTTCATTAAAGGTTGCCATGGTCAGGGGTACATTTGGGATTGGAGGGAGGAAAGACACGATGCAGAGACCAATAAGAGGTTTATTTGGGCATCTAGGTGGCACAGTGGATGGAGCTCCAACCTTGGAGTCAGGAGGACCCAAGTTCAAATCTGACCTCAGACACTTGACACTTACTAACTGTGTGACCCTGGGCAAGTCACTTAACCCTGAATTGCCTCACCAAAAAGCAAAAAAAAAAAAAAAAAAGAGGTTTATTACAAGCAGGAAGATCAATTAAGAGGCTACTGCAGTTGTTCAAAGGTGACAAGGGCCTGAACTTGGTGGTTGCTGTGTGAATGGAGAGAAGGGGACATATAGGAGGAATGTTGTGAAGGTAGAAACAAGATAAGGCAACAGATTGGATATGTAGGTGAGTAAGAATGAGGATTTAAATGACACTAGTTGCAAGCCTGAGAAAATGGGAGAGTAGTGCTGCCCTCAATAGTAATAGAAAAAAGAAATGAAGAAAAAAGTAAAAATAAATAAAATTTTAAATGGTGAACCCCCAGGATTGGGGGATCCCAGGTTTCCTAAGGAAGGGCAAATAGCTCAGATTGCAAATGGAGCTAATCAGGGTAGGATCTAGCCTGTGAGTAATCCCCTTACTTTCAGCTCAGGAAAATTAGGGAGACCCAGTCTTTAAAAAAAATTTTTAACAGTGTTAGAAATGAACAGTTTTGATCACAAAATTAAAGTTTTTGCACAAATAAAACCAGTGCAGCAAAATTAAGAGAAGCATAAAAATGGGGGAAAAAATCTTTGCAATGGGTTTGTCTGATAAAGTCTTATTTCTAAGATATATAGAGAATTTATTCACATTTATAGGAGTAATAGCTTGTCTTCAATTGATATTCAAAGACTATGAACAGGCAGTTTTCAGAGGAAGAAATCCAAGCTCTCAACAACCAAATGAAAAAGTGTTCTAAATCATTAATAATTTTAAATATATCTATGTATATAGATATATTTATTTAGCTGTGTAACCCTGGGCAAGTCACTTAACCCCAATTGCCTCACCAAAAAAATATATATTTTTAGTTTTCAACATTCACTTTTATAAGATTTTGAGTTTTAAATTTTCTCCCCCTCCTTCCCTTCCCCCCTTCCAAGATGACACGCAATCTGATATAAGCTATACATGTATAATCATATTAAACATATTTCCACATTAGTCATGCTGTAAAGAAGAATTAGCACCAAAGGGGAAAACCGCAAGAAAGAAAAAAGCAAAAAAAATCATATGCTTCGATCTACGTTCAAACTCCATAGTTCTGTCTCTGGATGTGGATAGCATTTTCCATCATGAGTTTTGGAATTATCTTAGATCATTGTATTGCTTAGAAGAACTAAGTCTATCAAAGTTGGTCATCGAACATAAATCATTAATAATTAGAGAAATGTACATCATCTAGATTCTATCAGATTGGCAAAGTTGACAAAAAAGGAAAATGACAAATTTTTAGGGGATGTGGTGAAACATGTACATGATGTATTGTAGGTGAAAATATGAACTGGGTCAGCCATTCTGGAAAACAATTTGGAACTGTGCCCCAAAAGCTATTAAACTGCACATACCTTTTGACCCAGAAATACCACTACTAAGTCTATAAACTTCAAAAAGATAGTAGCTAGCATCTATATAGTATGTTAAGGTTGCAAAGTACTTTATGAATATCTCATTTGATCCTTGCAACAACCCTGGGAGATAGGTACTATTTTTATCCCCATTTTACAAATAAGGAAACTGAGAACAGGAGAGGTTAAGTGACTTGCCCAGAATTACACAGCTAGGGAATTTGAATTGAGGTCTTCCTGACCATTATCCACTGTGCCACCTTACTGTTTCTGATCAAAGAGGAAAAGTACCCATATATACAAAAATATTTATAGCACCTCTTTTTATGGTGGTAAAGGATTGGAAACTAAGGGGGTGCCCGTCAATTAGGGAACTATTGAACATGTTATGGCATATCAATGTGATAGAATACTTTGTGCTAGGGGCAGCTAGGTGGCACAATGGATAGAGCTCCAGACTTGGAGTTAGTAGTACCTGAGTTCAAATACAGCCTGAGACACTTGACACTTACTAGCCATGTGACCCTGGGCAAATCACTTGACCCCGATTGCCTCACCAAAAAAAAAAATAAAATAAAAAGCCAAAAAAATAAAAAGAATACTATTGTGCTACAAGAAATAATGAAGGAGATGGTTTCAGAGAAACCTCGATTAGAAAGACTTGTATGAATTTGATCTCCTCTACTAGAACTTAAGCTCAATGAAGTTAGGGATAAAAGCATGACCTATCTTCCATGTAGGAGGCAGTGTTGAATACATGAGTGAACTGCAAAACAGAAACATTTTTTGTGATCAGAACAAATTCCTTGAAACATTTTAAACCAAGGAAAATCCGTATTATATGTACTTACCCAGATCACACAAGTCACAACCTTTCTCAGCTTCTGTTTCTTCTCAGTCTCCTTTCAACTCAAAATCTGTGATCCTTTGGTATGATCGTTTCTTACTTATTGGAACATAGCTAAAGATCAGCTTTTGAAAAGATGAAAATGATAGGCATTTTGCTTTGTTTTTAAACTATTTAGGTAAACAGATTTCATGGAATTTTGTTCTTATGCGCAGCCCTGCTCTTTCTATTAGCATTCTCCCCCACCCCCACAAGATGCATAGAATCCTGTTTCAAAGTCAAAGTCTAATCTACAGGAAATAGGAGTCAAAAATTATAGCCCCTACCTACTCTAGGGAAATTCCAAACAAACCTCCTGTGAGTCTTGGAACTCACTTGTTAGGAAAAGGGAAGGCCTAGGGAAGAAAAGTTCAAGATCATTTATAATTCAATCATTGTAACTGCTCAAGACAGTTCTTTCTACAGCTAAAAGGTCAAATTGAGGATAGATAAACAGGAATTCTCCTTAGCATGTGAGATTTATAAGTGCATTTCTCTCAGGAAGGCAACTGAGTAACTTATTTTTCTCTATCTCTGGGGACACTGGTGTTTTTCCCATCCCAGTTTCTAGTATGAATTGAAATGAACATTGAATAGTATTCTGAATGTAATATTGAAAAAACTTTTAGCTACATATAATAATTCACATTCCCATAATGTTTTAAAGTTACAAAATTCATAACAGTCCTTTGAAGTGCATAGTTCAAATATTATTTCCATTTTTCAGATGAAGAAACTGATGCCTGGAGAAGTGAAAGGACATGTTCAAGGTCACGTGACTAGATAGGGGCAGAGCTAGGACTTGAACCCAGGTCTCTTGATTCATAGTCTATTGCTTTTCCCACTACACCACACTGTCTGTTCTGAGCGATCCCAGACAAGTTTTGAGGTCAAAGTTGTTCAGTTGCTTAAGTAGGATGTTAATAAATTGCTACTGAAATATAGGCATAGGCATCCTATGGGTATTTGAGAAAATAATAATCCTTCCCAGAGTACTATCTGCTAGGATAGAAATGGAATGTTTATATTTATGAAATTTAGTATATACTTTAGCTTTTCACCAGGGAACATGTCCACCTCCTAACAAATCAACTCAGTAGATATTTGTTAAGCACCTATTATGTGCAGGGCCCTGTGCTACAAATACTCCTACAGGAACTAGAAAACCTCTTTGTCCAGCATGTCTGCCTTCCATGTACTGATATTTCTTTCTGATCACATCTTACCATTTAAATTTGGAACTTTCTCATCTTCTTGGTTGTGTTCCCTCACCCTCCCTTCCTCTATTTCTCTTTGAACCCCCCTCATTGCTCTTTGGATGGACTCTGATGTTGAAGAAGTCATAAAAATTCTTTGATTGATTTTTCTTGGTTTTGAAATAGAAGTATGAACCATGCACTGTACCACAGCTGTCTCATAGAGTAGTGAATTAAATATTCCTCAAAATCTGCTAAAGTAACTAGGGCGTGTTGGCCATGGCAACAACCAGTGTAGTTAATTCCCCAGATTCCTTGTCAGGTGTAATTTTCACATGGAAATATGTCAGTATTCCTACATGTTTTACCTGTGCAGTAGCCCTCTGGAGAGTAGAGCATCACCAAACGCTGTTGGAGAAGTCTAAAGGGACCACACCTACAAAAGTTGGTCAATTCTGCCAAGTGTTGATTTCCCCAGCATGATATTACCTCTCTAAGATGGATGATCCCCTTTAGTCCTTATCCTGGAGTTATTTCAAGATTTTAAATTGATCAGAACCTAGCTGCAAGCTGTCACTTCTACTATTAGCTTAAATATAAGTTTTCCAGGAACCCTAATAATCTCTAGTACTCAGAAAAGGCTCTTGGATAGAGTTTAATTTTAAGACTCTAGACATCTCATGCTTCCCTTTGACTTTCATAATTATTGTTTCACTTTGGAAGCTATTTTTTTTTTCCTCATGACTTTGAGAGAAGGATCTGAGTTTTGCTCTGTTTTCTTTTTCAGGATTCCCATCATGGTGCTCAAGGTCTTCTTCCCTTCTTGCTGTTGCGCAGCAGACAGTGGCCTTTTGATTGGCCGCTGGATCCCAGAACAGAACTCTGCAGTTATCTTAGCTGTTGTCCACTTCCCTTTCATCCCTTTCCAAGTAAAGCAGTATCTCTCTGAAGTACAGAAGGTCAGCCAGGTAGAAATTGTCGTGCTGGGCACTTGGTGTAACAACAAGCAGGAGAAGGAAGAGAGCCTGGGCAAATTCTTAGAAGACCTGGGCACCATTTTTTCTCATGAGCCTTGGCTCCAGCTTAGCAAAGAGAAAGGAAGTAAGTTCTGGACCTGCCATACACTTGCCAGACAAGCTGGCACCCCCAAAGAAGATCAGATCATTTTAATCTATTATGACCAGCGCAAAGCCATGCTGTCCCAATTGCATCCCCCCGAGATATCTCTGGATAACCAGCCAGGGGTCATCACTGCTCCCGATGCTTCAAAACTTGCAGCTGTGTTTGACACAGTGGCCAAAAGTGAGGTGCTATTCCTGACAGACAGGTACGACGATGGGCCCATCAAACTGAGCCACTGGCAGTCGGAGGGTGTGGAGGCCAGCATCATTGTGGAACTGGCAAAGCAGGCATCTGTGCCCGTGTGCATGCTGCTGACGTTCTTGCTTTCCTTTGTCTCTGGTCTTTGTAGGAGCAGGTAGGTAACTCTAATTGTTTCCCCTTTATCGTCCTTGCACTAGGTTTGTGAGGCACCAGAATACAGTAAATGAACAGATGTTGGTCAAAATATATGATTAGACTCCGGCACGTGTCTTATGATGCTAATATTAAGATATGTCTTCTATATGAAGAAGAAAGGGCATATGCCAGAGAGGCAGATGATAACATAAGACTTGGCTCATGGTGGAGTTATATCATGTAGTTCTGTGGTAACGGAGCAACCGTGGAATGGCACTGGGTGGCAGTGAAAAGGGCCCTAGATGTAGAAGACTAGAGCTTAAGTCCCAGAGCTGCAGGGTGCTCACTGTCTCTGTGACCATGGACATCTTGCTTTTGATTCCCTCCTCTGTAAGATAGTGACAATAATATTTGTACTAACTATTTCACAAGGTTATGGTGAAAATCATATTAAATAAGATGTGCATGCTCTATGCATAGTGGATGCTTAATAAATGCTTCTTCATTCATATAAGAATAAATTTTCAGCAGGCATAGTAGCTTATGATCATAGTAATGAAATGGAAAGGATGAGAGGTCATGTACTCTACTGCCAAAAGCAAGTGGAGAAGGGATCTAGATGGAAGTTGCCTCACTGGCTACATGGTATTACAATAAACAGGAGAAGGGGAAGAACCTTCACTAAACCCTTCATTTTACAAATGGGGAAACTGAAGCACAGAGTCATTAAGTGATTTGCCAAGATCAGGAAACTAGCTGGGAGCAGGGCCAGGACTAAAGTCTTCTGAGCCCTAGTCTAGTGCTCTTATCACTATACTTTTCTTCCAGAGCTTAGGCCTAACTCGTTTCCAAAGCACCATATCAAATGATGGTTTTAAGTTTAATACAATTTAGATATTTTGGGGGTGTTCCCTAAACTTGTCTATTTCTTGTATAGTAAAAATGTCTTCTGTGCATTACTGTAGTCTAAAACCACACTGGGATTCTGGACTGTAAAATTGATAGTGTGATATAATAGGCAATCTGGAAGCACAGGATTTCCTGAACATATATGCATGTGTGTATATGTATGTACCGATGTGTGTGCACTCACACAAACCAGGATGATTAAGGAGTGAGGTAACATCTCATGTATGCCTGGCAGTGACTGACTGATCATCTTTGTAAGTAGAGTGGTATTGAATACTTACAGAATTAGGCATTGAAAGTATATTCAACATGTCTCTTTCTCTAGGAGCTTCTAATTTAAGATGACTTAAAGTATGTGCCAAATACAGTGACTACATCAACAAATGCATACTGCTTGGCATTAATACATGTTGATAACTTCAGTGAGCCAGGCCTCTTAGGAAGAATCTTAAGGGAAAAGTACTATGGAGAACTTACTCTCTTACTATTTCCCATTTGGGAACTGGAGTTTGACTTTCTTGCTGTTAGAGGTGAATTTGACTTTTGTTTGTGTGGTCAACACCCATTTGTGAATATGTTTTCTCAGAGCATGCTCCTTTCTTTTATAGGGATAATCCTTTTTCATCAATCAACACACTTTTTTAAGCACGTGTTATATGTACTATGGCTTAGTACTTAGATCTCTTAGGGTAGATATAGGGATGATTAATGCATAGCCTTTACCTTTAAGGAGCTTGCAATGTTGTGTGGGGAGGAGGGAGGATAAAGTGTATATACATACATATACCTATTCATGTGTGTTCATATATATATATGCATATTTTAGATATACACATACATACATATACCTATGTGTGTGTGTGTGTGTGTGTGTGTGTGTGTAAATGCAAATGAAAATAATAGCAAGCACATCAGAGGATTTTAAGGTACTCTAGTACTCTGAAATCAGAGGGAAAGATGGCTTCTGGCTGAGAAGCTCAGAGGAGGTTTCCTGGAGCATACAGCATTTAAGTTGGGCCTTCAAGGATGGGTAGGATGTCAGCAGGCAGATTTGGAGAAGGCATTTCAGGAATAGGGTATGAGGCCCAAAGGTCAGAGGTAAGGAGGTGAAGCATATGTCTGGGAGATAGTGATTATGATACTTTGGCTGGAGTGTAGAGTATACAAAGGAGAGGGAGTAGCATGAAAAGTCTAGAAAGGCAAGTTGGAGCCAGACTCTGGCAGAAGGACAACAGATAATTCTGTCCTTATTTTACCTTTCTTCTGCTAACATCTTCTTATTGTCTTCTTATACCCAAAGTAGGATTTCCCAAGCAATCAAAAGGAATCATTTTAACATTGCATACAGGAAACACAACAAAAGATGTTGAGAATAAAACTGGAGAAGAAAATTCAGGATGAATACTCACATACACATATACATGCATGCATATATATATGTATATATACACACATACATACACATGTATATATGTATTTGTGTGTGTGTATATATGTGTATATATGTGTGTATATGTGTGTGTGTGTGTGTATATATATATATATACACATGTATAGATAGATAGATTGATTGATTTTAAATACCCTCCTGATAATGAGAACTATCACCTTAGGGGAAGAACTTTCCCTAGGGGAGTTACAGAAGCAGCTTTCATTGGAACATTTTTATCAAGGGGGAGTCAAAAGGTCCAGGAAGACGTACTATAGATAGTTTCCCACACAAAAAAAGACCTTGGGTATAGGACTGAGTAAATTTTAGAGTCATTTCCATCTCTCTGGGTGTATAAAGTATCCCTAATTACTACAGCTGACATAAATGCACCTGGCACCACCTGGTGGAAAACAGTTGTAATTGCAGGATATTTCCAACAATCAAGTTCTTTGGGGTTTATGTAACCTAAGGGAGATAGATTAAATTATGTGATTTAACATGGCTTTTATCCAATTGAAAAGAATCTTTATAACCAGCCTGTATGCCAACATGCTGCCTTGAGCCAGTATCAGGCCAGCAGAGAGTGTAGAAGATGATTGGTAAGAGTTTTCTTGAACTGGATATGTGATTTCATTGGTATAGGGAACTCCCAGGGAGGTCACACCCTCTATCAATGCAGATCATTACCATCTCTGAAATATTCAGTCTTGGAGAGTTGCTTGGGCCACTGAAAGGTTCCATGACTTGAGTAGGGTTATACAGCCAGTATGTGTCGGAGCAGGGTCTTGAACTCAGATCTTTCTGACTCAAGGCCAGCTTTCTCTCCATGTCACCACATTGCTTCCTTCCCCCTCCCCCAAATTGGATTAAACTGTGAATTCCTTTGAGTAATTGTGGATCTCAGGAAGCTTTTCAGCATTCCACAATCTGATGTAATCAGAACAGCATAATCCACAAATAAACAAGTAGCAAAGCACCCTAGGTGGCACAGTAGATGGAGGCCTGGAATCAGGAAACCTGATTTCAAATCCAGCCTCAGACACTTACTAGCTGTGTGACACTGGGCAAGGCACGTAACCTCTGTATCAGTTTCCCCAACTGTAAAATGGGGATAATAGTAGCACCTACCTCCCAGGGTTGTTGTAAGGATCAAAAGAGATAATATTTGTAAAGGACTTAACACAGTGCCTGACACATAGGAAGCTCCTAATAAATGCTTGTTTCCTTCCTACCTTGGGGAATAGGGGAGGTGGGGAGATGAGAGGCATCATCTGCCAGGCAAGTCAAACCACTACCATCTTGACACCATCTCCCCACAAGTCCTGAGACAGCCTAGAAGCCTAAATCCAAGAGTCTTGAGTGCCCCTGAAACCACTAGGCCTGCTTCCAGCCCCCATACCCATTACTGAGGACAGAAATCATTGCGGAGAGGGGGCCTTCCACCTCTAGCTACCAGCACTACCACCACCAGCAACAACTACTGACCAGATGCCACCAATAGGCAGGTAAGCACAAGAACCCTGGGAGTGACAGCACCCCCGAGACTGTCAGTCTGACTGCAGCCAGAATCTAGGGAAACTCCTTCTGTGGAGATGGGCCAGCCATCCCAACAGCTGCCACCCATAGGGTAGGCATTCCAGCCTAACTGAAGCAGCACGGCACCTTGGGGAGAGACGGGAGGTGCCAGGCAAGTCAAACCACCACCCCCTCTTCCCTCAGACCCTGATGGAAGCAGCCCAGGGCCTAGAACGCAACAGCCTTGGGAACAGCCACGCTTCCAGTCCAGTGGCCTCCAATGGAGCCTGGAAACTGCTCCTGCATTGCTGCAGCCACAGCTACTGAAGACCCAGAGTCCTTGACACCAGCAGATGGTTCGACATCCGAAACTGATGTAATTTTGTCTATGGAAATGACTTTAAAGAAGAAGCATGGCCTTCTGCTTTGCCACTATACCCTAAGGACCCTGGGACCTTTTTATCTGACTGAAACTAAAACCTGTTTGTCTCCCCTGTAGACTGTGAGCTCCTTGAGAGTACGGACTGTCTTTTCTATTTGTGCCATCAATGCTAAGTACAGTGTTTTCCACATAGTACTCAATAAAATTTTTTTTAAAAAATTCATTCATTCATATATACCTGCACTGGACAGCCTCAATGACAGTGGCAAGTACCTTTGGGGAATATAAACATTTATTAAGTGCCTGTTACGTTCTAGGCAGTGTGCTAAGCTCTGGAGATACAAATAAGAAAAAAGAGACGGTCCCTGCCCTCAAGGAGCTTACAATCTAAAGGAGGGGACATGAAAAGGGAAGCTGAAGGGGATGGGTATGGGGCACCAAGAGAGGGGTGTGTTGTTCCACGGAGTGGAAGCCAAACAGAGCTGCAGATAGAGAATGTTTTCCTTGATATTTGTAGTCAGTAGCTGGTCAGCAAAGTTATTTCCATTGTTATAACTTTCAAGATTTCATATGTGATTTTAGTGTATTCATGGAAGATAGCTTGCAGAACAAGAGCCTGGTAAAGTATTTTGTGCTACTAGACCAAATGTTTCATTATGGTCATCGAACAGTAAGCACAAAGGGATCATGTAGTCTAACCTGTAGTCATGTGACTGTAAGGATGTGCTCTGTCATAGAACATTATTTATGAAAGCCTACCTGTTCCTTTCCTGGTAAGAGTTACTTTGTTTTTTTTTTCAGAATGCTGAAATTCTACCAGGACTACAGGGCTGGCTCAATATTAGGAAAGCTATCAGAATAATTGACCATATCAACAATAAAACTAACAGAAATCATATGATTATCAGAATGCTGAAATTCAGGAATCATCATTTATTGTTCATCTATCAATTCCTCATAGTCTAAGTGGAGTACAAGACATTGTACTCATAGTACAATGAACTCATAGTCTAAATGGAGTACAGGACATTGTTACATTAAAACCTTTATATGATATACATAATATGTAACTGCAGGTTATTGCTTTGAGCTGAGCAAATGTTCCACAATCATTCAAATATTCAGTGATCACGAAAATAACACCTGCCTAGTGAACGTGTGCCTTTTTGATTTCACAGTTTTCTATTTGCTGATTTATTTGGTAAGTTAAACTTTTAACACCTGAGGAGAAGCAATTTTCTTTTGGTTTGATGTCCATTGAATTAGCCCATTGGTAAATGTTGAATGTTAGCTAATTTACCCATGTACTTGTTAATTATAACATACCAAGAATGCAGTCAGATTAATTTTCCATTTCTTATGGAGCCCATTTCATTTAATTATCTATCCCTCATATGTAATAATAATAATAATAATACCTTTTATAGAGCTTTACCATCTATAATGTGTTCTCATTATCCTTCATCGTAATAAACATGTGAGAGAGGCAGGAATTATTACCATTGTATAGATGAGGAAACCAAGGCTCAGAGAGTCAGAGTGACTTACTCTTGTGGTAGAAATTTAAACTAAACCAAATCTTCTGGTCCTGAGTCCAAGAGCAGTCTCTGCTCACTAGTGCAGGTATATATGGATAATGATGTATATACCCATACTTAAACTGATCATCTTGGTGTAGTAGTAGTAAGACCAAGGTTTATTTAATTGGAAACATCCTCTGAAGGAAGTGTGGCAAGGGTTAAAGAGGGCTATGTATGGGAGGAGGGGGAACATCTTTAAGCTAACTCTGCAGCAGCTGAATCCTAGTGGATGTTGGGTAGAGGATTCCAGTCTGTGCAGTTCACATTTTCATACAGATTTTTCTTGGAAATGATTCAGAGCAACTAGTATAATACAGAAACCTTTAAAATTTGCCCAGAGTTCAGACCTCTCTCTTCCCGAGGTTCTAAATTCAGGTATTGCCTTTTTTTTTTTTTTTTTTTTTAATGAGTCTGAGGCACCTTTCCTACCTGCAGCAAGTATTCTGAACTGAAAATGAAGGTTCTGAGCCCTCAGTTAATGGGAGTTAGAAATACTGGGTGTTGAAAACAGGCCACATGTCAGTTTTACTTTCTCCTCCTGGGAAACATCTTTTCTGTATAACAGTCAAATGTTTATCAAAATAGCTCATTGAACTGCATCTCAGAATTGTTTCTTCTGCGTTATAAGAAGTCTTCTCTCATTAAGTAAGTTTTATAGACAATAGGAGGAGGTTCCCAAATATTGTAAGGGTAATGAGTCAGGGGAAAGGTGGAGGTCAGCTCCGTTGCCTGAATGATCTTGGCCATTTCCCTCTCTGAATATAGAGAACGTTTTTGATTTTTTCTTTTAGATAACTCAGCAGGTTGAAGGCTATTTGGAAGTTGGCTTTTGGGGAGATGATATTGAAGAAGATTGGGTTAGGTTAATATTAAAAAGTGAAGTTGATGGCCCACTGATATAAGTAGAATAAGCTGCCTCTCTTAGTATCCTTACGGTTACTGCTAATCAGCTTTGGATACTGCCTAGGACTGTACCTAGTCCATTTGGGTAGTTCTGAAATTATTCAAGTCCTAGTAGCACTCCTCTGGGCCTCTGCTGGTGCTTTTCCACTCTGTCCAGTTGGCCAGCAGTGGGCTCATTGGCATGAGTGCCAATATTTGGGCACCTCAGGTTATTGTATAAAACAAAAACAGCTTCCCAGGTGTAAGATTGCTTTCACATTCCTTTCATTACTAGATGCTTTTGAGGGGCTCATGGGCCCATGATAGAGCAGTTCTCACTCCCCTACCTTCTAAGACGTAAAAATTCAGGGAAAATGGAATTCTTATGTAGTGTTAGTACTGACATGCAACATTCTGTCCTTTTTCCAGTGGCAGAAATGTATTTTTCTATGTTATTTCTGCAGAATATTTAAATTTTGGCCTTTGTCCTTCATATGGAGCAAACTCTCAACTTGTGAGCAGGTTGGATATCGACTAGAACATCTCAAATTCGTCTTTAGCAACCAAAAAGCTGAGAACCAAACCCAGCTGATGAGGTACAGTATTCTCACCCTCTTGTTTTTCGTCTAGCATCTTGAGGCATAACCCTTCCCTAGGGCAGTTTGAGGTTTTCACAATAGTAAACCTTAAAGAAGACCCCTTGGCATAGAGTTCTGATCTTTTGTTATCTCTCCAGCTGCCCCTCGGCCATCACTCTCTAACTTTAGGAATTAATAAGCAGTAAAAATAGCCTACTTTTGTCCTGATAAGTAATTCCCACCTAAACCCTTTTAAGGGTCCTTCAAGAGGGCGGTGCAGTGGGAAAGAGTGTTGACCTTGGGGACTAAAGCCCTGCATTTGAATACTGCCCTGTTCCTTAATGCCTGTGTGAACCCTGGACAGATTTCTCAGTCTAATAATTTGCACCCTGCCTAGCTCACAGGCTTATGATGAGGCTACGGCCGAAGGATGGATGTAAAAGTGTTCTGTAATGTAAACCCTTATACAGATATAAGTTGTTATTGTTATTGAGACAAACTCTTCTGTGTATTTTAACTGCTAGTTTAGACCATCCTAAGACCAAGTTCCACCTTTCATAGAATTTTGCACTGAGATCATCTAATCCAACCCCCTAATTTTGCAGATGAAGGAGCTGAATCCCAGAGGGATGGAAGTGATTTGCCCATTTACCCAAGGTAGTAAGGAACAGAGCCAGGATTTGAACTTAGGTCTTCCCACTCTAAATAAGTACCTCTCCACTATATCTCAGTGCCTTACTTTTCTCCCCTTCTACCACTCTCACAGGAAAGCCAACATCTTTGTTTCCCTTCTTCTTGACATGGCTCTGGGGATCATGCTGCTATCCTGGTTATACAGGAAGAATCGGATTGGTCAGCTGGCTGATGCTCTCATCCCAGTTGCAGATGTGAGTTAAGTTTAAATTTCAGCCCTGAAGCCCTGTGACTGAGCCAGGAGTTGGTTCATCTTCCTTCCTCCCTTTAAAGGGAGAAGCCCTTTCTACTTAAATTTCTTTGCATTCTTTCAGAGTAGCTAGAACAATGCCTTGCATGTTCAGAAAGATCTGTTGGCCCATTGATTTTCCCCAAAGCTCTGCCAGTGTCATTGAATACTTAAAGTTATCTAGTGGGGGAAGTATGGAGAGGGTAGCAGTACCCTTCCTGTAGCCTGTGTCCTTTGTTCTGGCCTGTTGAAACTCAGAAATCCAAAATGCCATTACTGCTACTACTAAAATGTAAAGTAATTATAGAAACACAAGCATATTTCATAATAAAACAGCTGATCTTTTAAAATCTTAAATGTATTCAATAGTTAACACCAACTTCCTCTGTTCAAGGCAATTAAAAAAGGCTCAGAAAATAAGTTTTTTACAGGTAAAGAAATTCATCTATACAGTCATGTGACTTGTGTGAGAAAACATAGTAGTGGTAGAACTTGAAATGGAGCCAAGAAGGAATAAAACATTTGACTCTCATTCCTAATTCTAACCCCATTTTGTGCCATTTTGCCTGTCGTTAAAGACCATATTCTGGTCTTAAAACCAGATTTTTTTTTTTTTTTGGCCACTTATTGGAGAGAGCCAATTTAGAAATATTTTAACTGGAGGATAATTTTGTCTTATAGTAATTTGTTGAATGAAACAAAATTAACATTCTCGTTCATTTAATCAGATGTAGCTACCTCCTTTTGTTACTAACTCAGTATTAATATTTCTGATTTCTGAAAGAACAAGTAAACTCCTAGCCCTGGTCTGATTCTCTTATAATAACCTTAGAAGCAGCAGGGTTTTGGCTACAGCCCATTATATAAGCACAGTGAAAAAAATCCTCCATCTGCTTAGTACTCTGGGCAGATGGACACACAGTACTCAAAGGGCATTGGACCATGACACCTGCTTTTGGATTTGCTGTTTATAATACAAATCATTTTATGTTCTATCTCTTCCATTTTCTTTTTCAGGGTATCCACTTCTTTGTTAAAAATTTCCACTTTCTGCTCTAAACCATTGATTCTTTTTTCAGATTCTTTAAGAGCTATAATTTTGCTCATTATGTCTTCCTTCAGTTTAAAAAAATTAAACATTTCAGCTACATTATTTTAGTCTCTTTAAAATGTTTTTATTATGAACTCAATCATTAACAAAACTATTTCAACATACAAAAAAGAGAATAGTATAAGAAATTGTTCTGTGCAGCTTGTTTTTTTAAGTTGGCTGTCAGATTTTTAAAAGTAGTGATGATTGGGGCACAGTGGATAGAGCTCCAGCCTTGGAGTCAGGAGGACCTGAGTTCAAATCTGGCCTCAGACACTTGACGCTTACTAGCAGTGTGACCTTGGGCAAGTCACTTAACCTCATTGCCTCACCCCCCCCCAAAAAAAGTAGTGATGATTACCATTTGTCCCCCCTTCTGAATTTTCTTTGTGTGTGTGTATTTTTAAATGTTTTATCAGCGCTCTTTGTTTAAAAAGTTTTTTGCATCTCTAGCAATATCTATTGACTCATACTTCTCTGAACAGAAATCCACCATTATAACAAAAATGTTTAATTAAACAAAGCAAATTAATGCATTGCTCATGTCTGAAAATGTACCTTTAGTCTAATGACCTCTGGTCTATTACTTCTCTGCCAAGAAGTAGAAGGCATGCTTGATCATCAGTCCTTTAAAGTCATGTCTGGACTAAAGGTCATTGTTTAGAGCTCTGAAGTTTTTCAAAGTTGTTGTCCTTTACAATATTGTGTAATATTGTGGTCATCATGTAAATTGCTTTGCTAAATCTGCTCATTTCACTTGGCATCAGTTCTTATAAGTCTTCCCAAGTTACTCTGAATCCATCATATTTTTTTTTTTTTTTTTAGGCAATTGGGGTTAAGTGACTCGCCCAGGGTCACACAGCCAGTGAGTGTCAGGTGTTTGGTCTGAGGCCAGATTTGAACTCAGCTCCTCCAGACTTTAGGGCCGGTGCGCTATCCACTGTACCACCTAGCTGCCCCCTACATATTTTTCTTCTAATACAATAATATTCTCTTCCATTCCTTTGTCACATTTTGTCTAGTCACTCCCCAATGGATGGGTAGCTACTTTGTTTCCATTTCTTTGCTACAACAAAACATAGTGCTACAAATACTTTTGTAGGTATTGATCCTTTCCCTTTATCTTTGGTATGCTTGGGGTATATGCCTAGAAGTGCTTTCACTGGGTCACAGAGTAGGTACAGTTTAATAACTTTGGGGACATAGTTACAAATTGCTTTCTGGAACGATTGGACCACTTTACATCTCCACCAACAGTGTGTTAGCATGAGAGTTCCACCAACAATTGCCATTTTCCTCTTCTGTCATCTTATCCAATATGATGGAGTGGAGCCCCAAAGTTGCTTTAATTTCCATTTCTCTCATTATTAGTGAATTGAAGTCTTTTTTTTGTTTGTTGATTTGTTTGCTTTATTTAAGAATGGACTATCTTATTGATTGAGGAATGTGTGCTCTTGTTTTTTATGCTTGTATCGATTCCAAATATATATTGGCTATCATACCTTTATAAGGGAAATTTGCTGCAAAGATTTTTTTTCCAAAATAACTTTCCCTTCCAGTTCTAAATACATTGATTTTTCTTGTGCACAAGCTTTTCAATTTTATGTAACCAAAATTTTCCATTTTGTCTTATATGATGACTATTATCCCTTATTTTATTATCCCCTAGCCAAAGTAGTAAAAAAGTATCTATTTCCCTTCTCATCCAACTTCTTCATGATAAGACTTTTTTATATTTAGGATATATGCCTATTTGGAGTTTATTATGTTATATTGTGTGAGATGTTGACCTAACTTCTGCCAAGGGGCTTTCAGATTTTCCCAGAAGTTTCTGTCAAATAGGGAGTCCTTGCTGTATTAGTTGGTATCTGAATTTATTGAACATCTGCTCCTATGTTCAGTTGTGTCTGGATCTTATTTATCTAATCTGTTCCAGTGATCAATTTTTTTATTTTTTTTAACCAGTACGAAATTGCTTTTTATGATTATTACTTTATAGTAGTTTAAGATCTGGTCCTGTTAGGGCACCTTTATTCCTTCTCTTTTTTTTTATTTCCCTTTAGATTATTGTTCCTGTAAATTAATTTTATTATCCTTTCATTTAGTTCTCAAAAGAAGAACCCTTAGCAATCCCTTAGAAGTTCCTTAGTAATTTGATCAATATGACATTAAATCTATAAATTAATTTATGTAGTATCATCATTCTTGTTATATTGTCGTGGCCCAACCATGAAAAATCAATATTCCTCTAATTATTTAAGTCTTCTTTTACATAGTCTCTCTTTTCTGGGATTCTTGGTCATAGTTATTATATTACTATTCTTTCTGGAGATTTCTGCTTGCATTCTTTTACCCCATATTATTGAAAGTTTTTTTTTGTTGTTGTTGTTGTTTACTCATTTCTTTAGTTTGTCTCTTGGTTTTCCTTATGAGAATTTCTTTCCTTTCTCCTATTTTTTGTTTTCCTCTTACTTTATTTGATACATTTCTTGCTGTTTTAAGGTAATAAAGGAGAGCTGTGCTTATGAAATGACCTCTTGGCTGTCCTGCTAGCCGTCCTAACATATCTCATTTCTTCCACATCCCAGTGGGAATCATTTTTCCTGATCAACACTCATTTCACTTTTCTACCACAGAGTGTGGATGCATAAACCTGTTCCCTGAAGCTTTGCCTGAGTCATCTCACAATTTCTGGGGATTGTATTGCCCTCTCCTTAAGGGGAAGTAGAAGATCAAGTCTATATCCCTGCCTTATTTTGTCAGAATGCAGTGAATTGTACAGATGTATGTAGTGATCTGTGGCAGAGATGACAGAATTGCAAGAGTGTTGAGATATTGATTCGTAGGTTATTTGAAGTGACGTGGAAATGTCAAAGATGGGGAAGGGGGATAAAGTGGTGACTGAGAGAACATCCATAACTAACAACCTATATGCCTACTCTCCCATCTATACAAAATTTTTACAAGAACAATATACACATAATATATTGAGGGCATTAGTAAGGAACAGGGTAGGGTTTTTTTTTTTCTTTTTGGTGAGGCGGTTGGGGTTAAGTGACTTGCCCAGGGTCACACAGCTAGTAAGCATCAAGTGTCTGAGGCCGGATTTGAACTCGGGTCCACCTGACTCCAAGGCCCGAGCTCTATCCATTGAACCACCTAGATGCCCTGAGGGTAGGTTTCTAAAAGTGATATTCTACAATTCACCACATCTTTACCATCATACAGTTGATTGAAGGAAGTAGAGAATGTAAAATCCGACCACTGCTATTGGTTGTTGCTTTCATAAGGCATTTGAATGTAAAAAGCCATGTTAAATGCTCTCTTCTAATAAGGTGTCTGTCATACCTCCATGCCTTAAAATCATTCAAGATTCTTTGAAAGCTATAACGATAAGAGCCTTGTTCGGTGACTCTCTGATCACACATATCACATGAGGTTTAAAACGGGGAGATGTAGTCTGGCCAAAGGTGTTCTGTACTCTCGTGGAGGAGATTCAACGTAGAGTTCACATTGAAGAGGAATTTTCTATGGATAGTGGGGTCCTTTAGAGGTTTTTATTTGCAGATGACATCGTGCTGGTGGTAGAGAGTCCTGGAACATTGAAAAATCTCCTGGAAGACATATGTAACACCTCAAAAGAGTTTGCCTAATCATCTACAGAAGAAGGGCCAAGTAGATAAGTACTATGTCTTTAACCAGATTATAACATTGTTTGGTCAGTCTGGAGCTTGTCCCTCAGTGTGTATATCTGGGACAGATAGCACCGATGGACAATGACTTGGGCCCAGAATTAAACAGGAGGAAGTGAATTGCTTTCAGAATATTGCACAGCTCCTTTTAATGAACTCAAGCTTCTCTCAGAAATAAAAGCC